AGGCGGCTCGCAGGCTGCAGGAGCAGCGCGCCACCGAGCGCCAGCTCCGAGGGCAGCTGGAGGAGCTGCGCTGCTGCATCTACGAGCTGACGCTGTCGGAGATCGGCCTGCACAGCCAGGTGGAGGACCTCACCGAGCAAAATCGGAGCCTGCGAGAGGAGCTGGGAGCTCGGGCCCCGGGGGAAAGAGGACGCAGCTCCACCCCCGCTGGTCACTGCAGCCTGGTAAGTGGCCAGAACCCAGGGCAGGAGTGATTTTCCGCTTTTCTCTTTCCTCTACAACTACGAGTATGGGCCCACCAAAAGCCCACTGACTGGCCACTGACTCCTGCCTCCTCTTTATTCATCCATCCGACCCAGCCAGCCCTGTCCATCCATTGCTTATTCCACCGGTCTACCCAGCCAGGCCCACCATCCTCACAACTTCCACAGCACTGCATCTGTCCGTCCACTCACCCATCCGCTCTGACCCCGACCCCATCTGTCTCCCCATCCATTTATCCAACCACTGTCCACCCACGCTCCCTCATGTTCCCTCCCTCTACCCTCTGCTTGTCCACCTACCCCCATCCACTTGGTCTCTCCCTTTCTCACCCACTTGGCTCTCCATGCACACACCCACCTCTCCACACACCTTCCCTCCTGTCTATACACTAACCAATCCACCTGGCTTAGCCGTTTTTCCCCATCTGGGGTGCTGTTGCAGAATGCCATAGACTGGGGGCTTATAGACAACAGCAATCGTATTTCTCACGTCCTGGAGGGTGGGAAGCCCAAGAGCAAGGCCCCTGCAGGTTTGGCATCTGGTAAGGGCCCAGGCCTTGATTCACAGCCAGGTGTGCTCTCGCTGTGCCCTCACATGGTGGGAGAGGCGTAGGAGCTCTCTGGGGTCTCATTTATTTATTTATTTGTTTTTCTTTGGAGGGTCTCTTCTAAGGGCACTGATCCCATCCTTGAGGCTTCTCCCTCATGACCTCATCACCTCCCAAAGGCCCCACCTCTTAATACTAACACACTGGTGACTTGGTTTTGACATATGCATCTGGAGGAGGGGGCAGGAAATGAACAGTCAGATCATCGCATCCGTCCACTCATGTGCCCACCCATGTTCCATTGTCTTCTCACTCACCCTGCCATCAGATTGTCCATCCAGCCACTCATCCAACCTCTGCCCAGGCACCCAGTCAACCGCCGTAAATCCCTCGGCATCTGTTTCCTCCTGCCCATCCATTTATGGAGCATTTAATGAGCCCCAGGGGAGCCGGGCTGGTGTCGGATGAGGCCCGTGCTGTGTGATAGTACATATGCATGTGCTGGTCAGGTCCTCCCGACCCAGCCCTCCCAGCCGCCAGTAGTTGCCCCTTACAGGATCCAAGGTGACCATGGCCCCTGGTGGCCGTTCTGTGTCTTCTCTTCCTCAGTAGATTGTGAGCTCCTTGAGGGCAGGGTCCGGGTTGGGCTGGCCTCGTACCCTTGGCTCCTCTGCAGCACACAGGAGGGCCCCAGGACTGTCGGTAGAAAGTACACGGGGTCGGAGCTCTCTCATTCTTGTGTGTACTCTCTGTGTGACTTCGGGCAAGTTTCCTGAGCTCTGCAGGGCTGACTGGGCATTTATTTATCATTTGACTAATGGAAGAGTGAAAATGTCTATTTAACATATTCCTACCATGGGCTCGTCACCCTAGCAGGTGTTTTAAAAGACATTGCACTAAATGTGCTTGAAAATTGTGAGGCAGCTCCTATTATTCTCCTCATTGCACGGACAAGGAAGGCGTGGGGAGGTAACATCTGACCCGTTGTCACACAGGTGCTAAGAGACAGAACTAGAATCTGATCCAAGTTTGATGAGTCCCAAGTGCACTATTTCCACTGCATCAGTTTGCCTTCCTGGGAAGGAAGAGTGAATTGAGCTCCCTTGAAGAGATCTAGAACTCTGTCCCTCCCCTGGTGGGGAGGGGTGTCCAGATTGTATTTAAGGAAAATCGGTGAGAAACTTCAGCCTCAAGGGGACTGCTCACTGGAAAAAGTTTTCCTATGTGGCTAGGCCCATATAGGAAGGGTCCTGTGTGTGCGTCCTGGGGCCTCCTTCGTTACATCGGTGTGCATGTGTGTGCCCATGGGCTGTGCTGGTTGGGCCTGAGGGTGGATCATGGCATGGGGTCCTGTTGGGGAAGCCTATCTCTTTATCTCTTTCTTATGGAAGAAAGAAATAAATAAGCTTGCAAAAAGAAAAAGGAGACACTGATAATTTAAAAAAAAATCAAATTTACCTTTGTACCTGCACCATCTATTTCACATTAACTGGAGACTTAAATGCTCGACGTCGTCTCGGGATAGTGAAGTGTACCTTGCCTAGGTCACTCTACTACTGGCTTCATCTAACCTTCTCACTATGTCATCCTCTTACTGTCACCCTTACACATCTCCTGTTATTCCTCCTCCTGTTATGTTCACTGGATGAAAGGAAAATGTGTACCTTTAATATTGACTCCTTATTGTAATTTTGGCGAATAAATTGTGCATAGATTAAAATGGTCAGTTAGAATCTATTCAGTAAATTTCCTGAATACAGGACTTTAAATTGGGCTGCTGACTTATTCTCTCATCCCTCCCTTCGTCCCTACCTAGCTAGTCACTATTTCTCCAAAATGGGGAACTGACCGAGAGAACGAGTCGCTAGATATTCCGAGGGCAGCTGCTCGTGTTTTGTCCGTTCGGCGTTTGCTCCCTTCGTATTTGGAGCAGCTTCGTGAGCCCGGTGCTGGTCTTTCACCACACAGTGGAGCAGCTGAGGCTGGGCAGTGAGGTGACCTGGCCACAGGCAGCAGCTACTCAGGAGCAGGTGCAAAGGGACGGCTTTTCTTGGGGCGCTCGGCACGGCATCGGTGACTGGGTTAGTGGATTCTGTGCCATCAGCTCACGAGGCCCTTGACCCTGGTTACTTTGTGCTCTCTCTTTCCCAAGTTCCCCTGCCCCAGGGGAACTGCCTGTCACGTGAGCTGGGTCACAGAGGGGACAGGGCTGCTATTTGGGAAGCTGTGTGCTAAGGTGGGGCCTTAGCAGAGCCGGACACAGGGACTGAGGGCTGGCGCCGGGAGAGGCAGGTGGGGCCCCATGGAGGAGGGTGAGGGTCCCCGCCCAGCACGGCCTTACCAGCCTCAGGACCTCGGGGCAGCTCTCCAGGCTTTTGTGCCTCAGTGTTCCCAGTGTGAAATGGGACTGAGACGGGGCCGTCACAGTCATAGTAAGTCCTTCCTCGGTGACGCGGGCCGGGGTGGGACAGTACATGGAGGGACCTCACGGGGAGGGCGAGCGGTCTGTCCGGCCTCACCATGCCCTCTCGGCATCACCGCCATCCCCATCTCCCCCAACTCTCCTCCAGGCCCGAGCCCTCTGATCGGGTGCCGGGTGGACTCGCCACACCATTTACGTTGTGGCTTTCTCTGTCTCGGCTTTTCGTTTGTTTCCCGAGGGCATACTCTGATTGGAGTTGACTGAATATGAATGCGATTTGCCTTATTTATTTATTTATTTATATATTTTTATTTATTTATTTTGGAGAGATTTTTGCTATAGGACGTGTGCACTCGCCAGACAGAGACCGAAAACAGAAAGTGAGAAGTTACTCCCCAGGGGGATGGCCACACCGCAATCCCTTCTCCTCCAATCTCCTCTTGGGATTTTGGGCATGGACACGCACGTGCCTGGCGTGAGTTTTAAGTCCCTGGATCCAGGACTTGAACCGCGTTCGACTAAGTGGGAGTCCAGCACTGTAACCATTACCCACCTGCTAGTCCCAATGCTATTTGTCTTTGCTTTTCTTCTGGAAAGGCCCATGGAGGCACAGGCTCCTACACAGGCCTGGTGTAGACAGGGCCAGTAGTCACAGCTCCCATGTCACACAGCCTGTGCACCGGTCCAGGGGACGGGGAGAACTGCAGTGGCCTTCAGGGGATCACCCTACGTGCAGTGCTCTTGGCTGAGGGGCTGAGAACCTCTAGCTAGCTGCCAGCGTGGGCCAGCAGGGGCGGATCAGGAGGGTGCAGGCCTCTAGCTGGCTGAAGATCTGGGTCGGGAGGTGGGAAGAGGGAGAGGGGGCTGACTCCCATCTCAGGAGTGGCCCAGCTGTATTCCATGATGCCTCTAGCCTCTGCCCGGCAGGGGTTCTCAGGCCTGCAGCATAGACAAGGAGCTGGAGGGAGAGGCATAGTGCCCCGGCCTCAGTCATAGCTGCCGAGTGGGGCCTGGAGCGATTTTGGTCCCTGCCTCCTCCTTGGCATCCACTGGCCCCCAGCTGGGATCTTCCCGCAGCAGTATTGGCTGCTCTTCTGTCTGAGAGCAGCCCTGAGAGTGGGTGAGGGTGGCACCAGCAGCAACCCCTGAGTCAGGCTGCCAGGGCACCCCAGACCACCTGGGGGAGGAAGTGAAACCGAGGGGGGGACACTCAGGGGCAGCAGGGCATTGCCTGTGGGAGGCGAGCAGATGCCAAGTGCATCCTGCCTGGCTGAGCTATGCTGCTGCAGAATGCCGGGCACCACAGGGCTACGCCGGGCCCTGGGGAAACAGGCGAGGCACAGCGTGTCAGCACCCTGCAGCTGCCAGGACAGAGCACCACAAGCCGGCAGCATAAACCAGCAGGCTTTCCTTCTCTCCCCGTCCTGGAGGCCGGAAGTCCAAAATCACGGTGGCAGCAGCGGTGCCATCCCGAGGCTCTCGGTACCACGTGTCCCTTGCCTCTCCCAGGGCCGGCGGCTCCTGGCAGTCTGCAGGTGTAGACACAGCCCTCCAGTCTTTGTCCCCACCCCGCTGTGGCCTTTCCTCTGTATCTATCCCACAGCTCTTCTCTCCTTATGAGGACATCACTCTGACAGGATTGATAGCTTAACCTCATGGTCACCTCTAGCATCGGCAAAGACCCAACTCCAGGGGAGGTCGCAGTCACCGGGACTGTAACTTGGGGACACAGTGCCCCACGCTCGGGAAGCTCAGTGGCAGGAGATGGCTGTGGTCCCTCCTCCTCCCCCATGTAGTGTTCCCTGACCCAGGAGCCTCTGCTGTCCTCTGCCGGGTCGACCTGGCTGCCCTTCCCGTGGCTCTTCAGTGCTGGCGGAGCCTCCGGAAACAGGGCCGGGTCCCGTGCTCTCTGTCTTCCCAGGGGCGTTGGCTGAGTGAGCCATTGAGCGGCGAGGCCTGGGGAAGGGGAGGGACCTCGGGTTACTCTAACA